AAATACACCTCGTTTTTGGGTTTCTCTACCCTAGTCTCTTTGTAAGAAAGCTAGAGCATTGCTTGGGCTATCTATTGATCCGAAAAAGTGTGGATTTGGAGCATCTTGAGTTTTCTCTTCTTCTCCCTTGAGCTTCCCCATTTGAGGTAGGGATAATCTATTATTTATTATGAGTTTTAACATAAATTTTAGTCATTTTGTATAAATGGTGAGATTTGGGAAGTTTGGTGAAGTTAGGGTTTTGAGTTGAAATTGTAAGAGATGGATTTTCTAATACTTGGGCTTCTTTGTGTATATGAGGTCTTGATAATGGAAACGTTTATGTAAGATGAATGAAATTTGGCCTTGGTTGCAATTTTTGAGAAAAGGGAGAATAATGCCCTAATTTGTGCTATATAAATTATTTGTGTAAATTATGAAAACATTGGGGAAATATGAAATTGGCTTGGAAATTATGGAATTGGGAAAAATATGAGATTGAATGGTGTAGTTGGATTGATAAATCACTCACATATGGAAAAGTTAATAAATTATCTGTTTGATAAATTTACTTATCTGTTTAGAAATATCTGTCTTGGGCTATCGGTGAATGATAGTCTTGATTGTTGTAGAAACTGCATGATGATTAGGTAAATTGAAACTAATAAGCTGGAATATGTCATTGAATATGACGAGAGAATATAAACATTGAATATGTGAATTATTGGGTCGTTGTATATGACTATATGTTTAAATACATTGTATATGCATATTGTGTGGGAGGAGATAGGGGATGGACTCCATTGATAATTAAGTTGGCCGGAGTGTCTAGGGTGAAAGTCCCGAAATCTTATTTATTTATGGGTGTCAGTTCCCTCGGACGTAGTTCCATAAGCTGGCAAGTGAATGGAAGTGTATGAGATGTGTTTATGATTGAAGTATTAATAATATGAATTGTAGTCTCATTTTGAATTGTTTGGACAATTTTGAATTATGACAATGTATTGTTTGGATAATCAAAGAGGGAAATGGATTGGAATATGGATGTAAATACTGGTTAATTATGGAAGAAGTGTAAGTTAGTTACACGTGTTAAACATTTATCGGATGCTAATGTTTTAGTTAATTCTCATATTTTGTTTAGCATATCTCTACTGGGCTCTGGCTCACCCTACTTGGGACACCATTTTTCAGGAACAGGAGACATGCCGCCTCTAAGGTCTTAGCTTAGGAGGTCTTGGAGTTGAAGACTCTCTTTTATTGTTTTGTTTTGATGTTAAATGTGAATTTAAGCCGAGGGCTTTATATGTAGAGAGTTATAACTCTTTTTTCGTTGTAACCAAGTTATTACTTGGAAAGTTATAAGCCCGTGGGGTATTTATTTTGTTGTTAACATATAACATCTTTTGTAAAGAACACTCTGACGAATGGAATATAATGCTTTTCCTATGTTTTATGGATCTTAAGAATGAATGATTTATGTTTTTTTTTGGGGGCGTTACAACATGAATCTTGGCCAGAATTGGACTGATACCTAGAATGAGAAGACCTGGTCTCAGATGAAGCAGTAGAAGAAGCTCAAGGATAATTGCTTTGGAGATGACCTGGAGCAGTCTTGTGACACGTCAAGCATTCGCGAACCTGGCACTGAACAAGTGAATGATTCGCTGGCAAGCCGCGGTTGCGACAACAACTGCATAGACTAGATGGCTGGGGAGATGAATAACTCTGAGATGATGGCGTAGCAAGAACAAAATCCATGGTTGGAGATTTGAGAATCCCAAAACGAGTCTCCTCTGATAGTAGCTCAGTAATGGCTTGCTCTAAAGTGGGCAAGGGCAAACGATGGAGTAAACAAACACGCACGGGCTCAAAAGTGCTATAAAGAGCCATAAGAAACTACAATAATCGCTGATGATTCCGATAGGTAATAAATAACTGTGCATCATCAGAATGAACCTATGGAGGTTCAGAAAGAGCGAGCTAGTCCCAAACAGCCGACACTTGGGATAAAAAGTCATTGAGAGATTGACCGGGTGCCTGGCGCATGTGATGAAGAGTCTGCAACAGTTGATACTGATGAGTATGTCTAGTGGTCTGATAACGTTTCCTCAAGAAATCCCAGATTACTTTGGTAGGAGAGGCAAGGGAATCATCGTCCTGAAAGCGTCCAAATTGAAGGTTGATGGAATGAACCGAGGTAGCCCGGAACCATGTGATAATTTGATAATTCTTACTTTTGCATTCGTCAAGACGGTCATCGAATGCAGAGTTAGTCCCATCATTCTTCTGGTTGGGTTTAAGAAGAGCACTAGTAATGATCCGCCAAAGGCGTTTGCCTTTGATGAAGCTAGAGAGAGGTTGGGCCTAACTAACAGAATTAGACCTATAAAAGATAGCAGAAACAGATTGGATGTTCTCATTACGATCTATAATTGCCAAAACGGAGGTCACCAATAGGATCAAAAGGCTGGAAAACCTTAGGGACAAGTAGGGCCGATGTCAGCACTGTGGCTGTGATAATGTCAGCAGAGAGACAATGGCTGAGTAGGGCTGACGTCAGCGGCTGATGAGGGCTGACGTCAGCGGCTGAAGATGAAGGTAAACGGCTGAGGAAGCAGGGTGGAAGCCGAGGCAGGGGGCATGTGGTTAGGAGAAGCCGGGCAGAAGTCGATGAGGATTTGGCTGATGCGGAAGTTGATGGAGACTGATGCGGAAGTCGAGGGCCAAGCCGAGGTCGGATCGACTGAGGCGGAAGTCGAGGGACCGAAACCGAGGGAAGACGGCTGAGACGCGTGCAGAAGCGTGCTGAGAGTGGAAGCGACATCAACCGATGCGCTTCTCTCTGGGAGGCGCGTGAAAGCGCGTGGAACGTCTGATGGTGGTGATTCTGGTGTCTTTGGTTTCGTCTTGAAGAGGTGAAGAGGCAGGTGTAGTCCAAATGTGGAAGCAATGATGGACGATAAACGCAAAACCCAAGAGAAACTAACGTGAGACATAATCAAAGCTGCTAGACCAAAAAATAAAGTAAAATAAAATAAAAAATGTGATAAAGAAGAAGAAGAGACTAGGAGAGGACCCTAAGCTCTGATACCATGTTATGAGAGTTATTCTGATATATTGAATTGAATAAATAATACAATAGCAGAAGCCTGTATATATAAGCTGATAAGAAACTTAGATAGGTACATAAGAAGATAGAGATACATTGAGATTAAGATAAGTATAGAAGGAGATATATCTATAATATAAATAGATAAATATAATAATGTACAACTAACAACTCATCTTTGTGCGTAAACTGTGAGAATTAAATTACAAAGTCTCTAACATTTATCTTAGTTATTTATGGAACTACCTTTTTTGTAACCACTACTAATTATACGAAGTTAGATACACAAACTTTTGATCACAAATAGATTATAAATATTTTAATATGTATGAAAAATGTTATATTGAAAGTTCGCTCCATGCTCAAAAAGTTAAAATTGATCTTGTCATCGTAGTATAAAAATTGAAAGACAATAAAAAAATTATAAATTATAAATTTCATATTGCATGTATAAAATAACTTCTTTCAATTCATCCATTGACATTTAAGGATCGTTTGAAATTGACTTTTAGCAAACATTTTGTGATTTTTTTCAAAAATTTTGATATTTTTGGAAGCTATTGGATTAGATGAACCAAAAAGGTAGAAAAAAAAAGTCCATTAATATTGAGCTAAAAAAGTTAAAAAAGTTTCTTCCTTTTGAGAAACTATTATTTATATAAAATTCATACATAATAATGCCATCATACTATTATTATAAATGAATTAATATATTTTATTTTAAAATAGAAAGTTCACAATAAGTCATGGTATTATGATATTGGGATGATCTAAATAAGTACACTTTTTGATTTTTTATGAAATATGGATTGGGTATGAGTTAGGTTTGAAGTGACGGGTTAGAGAGGTAATGTGACTTAAATAAGATAATGTAATTTAAATAGAATAGTGACTTTTTGACTTTTTAATTTTTTTAGATCATGTCAAACAAGGCCTTAATTTAAGAACTTGATTTAAAAGTCAAAAATTTACTTTAAACCTATTTGAAGCCATATTATCTTTTTACTTTTACACATTTTTTTTAAAAAAACAAAAAAGTCAAAAAATTAATTTTTAACAAACTTTTCAAAACAACACTACGTATAAATTTTTTTCATATAATTTTATTTTTAATTTAAGTAATATTAAAAATTTACATCTTTATATTCACCATAATTAAATATACTATCAAAAAATTGAAAATTAATATACAACCTGCCACATTAAATCATAATTATTATTTTTTAGTCCTTTTTTCTACTTCTTTTTGGGTTCGGGTCAAACCTTTGTGCCATTCCCGTTTCCACCTAACCAATTTTCTCTCTCCTCTCTTCCTTATTTTCTTTATATTTTTTATCGAGGGAATTACTTAAAAATTGAATAATAATAAAAAAAAAACACAAATATAGAGGAATAAAAGCGAGACTTGCATTAACACATCTTTTCACTTATATTTCACCATAAATTCGCTTACATCTCTCATATTTTTATAATTTTTTTTTATATGTCAAGTAATAATTCCCCTTTTTTTATTTTTGGCAAATAATTCAAGAGTTAATTTTTTTTTAAAACAAGAATTCAAGAGTTACCTTTTTTTTTTTTAAACAAGAATTCAAGAGTTACCTTGTGTCGCATATTCTTGTACTCCTATCTCTCTCTCTCTCTCTCTGAAAAGAGACCCTGAAAAGCTATCCCTGAACCAAGAAATCGGGAGAAAAACAAACCCCAGCAACCCTAATCAAACATAATATTGTTTGATTCTACACTCAATTCATATATTCATATCTCTATCTACATCGTTATACAACGATCTGACAACTCTGTGCCCTAATCCCGCAACTCTTTTTTCTAATTTAGCTGTGATAATCAGACCATCATCGGGTCTGTGCCGTGGGGTTGCAATTTTTAGGGTTTCTTTCTAGGGTTTACGATGGATTCGGAGGAAGATATGCACGACGCGAACGATGCTGAGTCTCTGGATGACTACTACAGCGGCGATACGGCAGTGGACTACAGCGACAACGATGACGGCGGCGATTATGAGTTCATGGACAACGATTCCGATGATTCGGACGACATCGTTGTGAGTCGCCAACAGGTGAATTGTTGTTAAAAGTTAAATGCTTTACGTTGTGTTTGGTTGGGAGATTTGAGGATGGATTTGGTAGTTTCACACCGCTTTTCATTTTTTCTTTCCAAATTTATCTCCAAATTTTCAAACCAAACACAGCATTAGGGTTTTGTTGTTTTGTTATTGAATTGAAAAGTGGTGGATTCTTGCTTTTATGGGTTTTTGATTTTGGCTCAATTTGACTGATGGGTTTTTGATTAAATGAGACCTTGGTGGTATTTGAGAAAGATAGGATTATGATGTGATTGTGGTTCATTGATTTGTTGCAGAAAAACCCTTGGGTTTTGATAATATGAGATTGCTGTTTGAATTTCATGACATTACAGTTATTGGTGGGTAAGGCTGTTTCCTGTACTGCAAAACCATTGTTAGATCTTTGGTTGTTTTATTCAAGGGTTTGTAGCTAGGTTTTAGTATTTTGATTTTGGTTAAGTTATCATGGAGTGTCCTTTTTGTTATTTGTAATTTCTACTGATTTACATTGTGGGATTGTTCTTTGACAAGTTCATTGACATGGTTGTGGGGGTTCTATGTAAGCGGCTTAGGTAGCTGGTCCTGCTGCATTCTAAAGGCCTATGGGGTGCCTACCATATCATGTAAACATACCTTTGTAGCAATGTGTCAAACTTTTATATGACGGCTTATTAGGTGTTCCCGGAGCAATGCTTCAGCATTTATCAAGTGCCGCTTGTTAGGTTGTTTTCTAAAATAACTATTTAATTGTAGCACCACAAAGATTTGCTCTAAGTGCTTTGAATAAGTTTTGCAGTGTCGTATTTGTTTGTTACTAAGATGTTAATAATGAGGTCTGTGTTTTTAAAGGCTCCAGGAGCACCAAGGAGCCGAAGGTCTCTTAGGACTTAGGTGTAAGGCAAGGCACGGGTTTTATTTAAGTAAGGCAAATAGTCTTAGTTAAAAATAGATAAATTAAGTGAGACTAATGATTCATAGCATGTAAATACTAAGATAGGATTTAAAAAATGAAAAATGAGAAAAAAAGTAACTAAAGGTAAAATAATCGACATTTAAAATAATCAACATTCAAACCCCCCCCCCCCCAAAAAAAAAAAAAAAAAAAAAATATGAAGCTTTTTGCAAGTGAAACTGTAACAACAAACGAAAAGAAAAGGAAAAGGAAATGAATTAATACTAAAACAAGTAATGCTTGAAGGAATATTTTTTTTTTTGTAAGTTGATGTTCATTTGAAGCTTTTTGTAAGTGAAACTATAACTAAATTTATGTAACTAATCAATGTTTCCAAATTGAAAGTTAAGTGGCAAACAAAGTGGTGTCATATCATCAAATTAAAAATCCAAGTGCAAAATGATGTCACACCCAGTGACATTCTCAACTAAAAAAGAAAATCAATTGTCTCTATTTGATTATAAGAAGAAGAAACGAGCCCTGCACATTGAATATGCAAAAGAACACAAAAAAAAAAAAAAAAAAAAAAAAAAAAATATAGAGAAGGGAAGAAGAAGCAATTTTTTTTTTTTTGAGATAGATGGAAAAAAAACAAAGGCAGCAAAAAAGAAGGGAAGGAGAAGAAGAAGAAGCACTACCTAGTCCAGACTAAGACGAGACAAGCCAAAGGGAAGAGACACTCAGACACTGTAAGGTTTCTTTGCAAGATTTCTTCTAATGAATCGGGTAGGGATTTTTAGTCGTATTTGGGGTTGCGTATTGAGCTATATACCTTAGAGTTGTAATCCTATATAGTTGGAGCCTTTAAAAACACTGACATGAATCGCTAGATTTTGATTAGAAAACGAGAAAAATAAAAAGAAGGGAAGGAGAAGAAGAAGAAGAACTACCTAGTCCAAACAAGACGAGACAAGCCGAAGGGAAGAGACACTCAGACACTGTAAGGTTTCTTTGCAAGATTTCTTCTAATGAATCGGGTAGGGTT